AAGGTAAAGGATCAGAGCTGGGCATTCTGTCCTCCCTTGAAGACTTTTTATCCTATCAATTTTTTCTTCTTCTTAACCACTTGAATCATTCTTGGGACAGTCCTTCCCACCTTCTCATCTGCCTGTTCACTCATTTGAGCCTCTCTGAGACTTGTGGCAGGCTCATAATTTAGAAACCCATTCAAACAATAGTAACTATTTTTCAACATTTATCTGGAAGAGAGGCAGAACATCTAGGAACATTTAGCCTTTCTTAATCATTTCTCCCATGACCTTCAATGAAGTCTTTCAAGTCAGTTAAAGTCAGAAACCATGTATTTTGAATGATACATAATACTTTAAACACTCTTCTTTTTAGATAAATTTTGTAAATGTGCATGAATTCACTATTCTTTTAATATAGGGCTGAGGTCTTTTCTTTGAATGTAGGCTCACTGTTTTGAGCACCTCACTGATGTTCTTGCACAAACTATACCTATCAGGTATTACCTGCAATTTCTACCTAAAGTTTTTTTCAAGTGAATCAAAATACTTAAAGTTATTTGCAAAGCTGACTGCAGAATTCTTCTAGAATTTTATAATTTTTCCCCAGTCTTTTGCATTTGTCTCACTTTTACCTAGTTTAAGGGCATTTTTTAAGTGATTCAGCTTTATCAAAATCTTTCAAACACATTTCACATAGCTATCCCTTGTATTTTTGTATTCATATGTCACTGGTTTATGTACTATTAAGTTAAATGACAATTAAAATAAGCATAAACATCATAAACAGGTTTGGAAATAAACTGACCTTGATAAGCCAGTATCTCAATTGGTGAAAACAAAGGCAGATCACTGGTTAATTTGGTTAGGCAGAGGTTGACCAGGAAGCCTTGACTACGTGTGTATGCAGAGAGGCACCACCAATTAGCCACTTGTTTACCTACCAATGGCTAACGGTTTTATAACCTGTACCTATCTTTTGTATAGATGAAATAATTCATATCAGGGACTGATATCACATACTCTTTTTAGATAACCCACCTGATATTTTGCATTTAATTGGCACTTAATAAGCTTATGTCGCACACACAAGCTGATGCAGCTCTGGTCTCTCCTCCAGCATTCCTTTTCAGTTATCCAAGCCCAAATACTTTCAAAATCTAACTTAAGTTCTTCCTGGTCCTCATAGACTTCCCTCAGGGTTCTAGTTCTCAATGACCTATTCAAATACAGCTCTTGAAATGTGCTATTTTGCACTGGCTTCCTGCTGGTCCTTAGAGGTACTGTTTCTCCATTGATGCTCAGATGTATTATATCCCCAGGTTATTAGATTATAAACTTCCCGGTGTACTGTATCCCCAGGTTATTAGATTCCATCCTGGAATGGAACTGCTCCCTGGAAGTGGAACTGTGCTTATACTTCTGTGGAGCCTCCTGGACTATAACTTCTGTGATGGTGCCTGGTTGATAATCATTCCTCATTTGCCAATTGACTAGCCCATGGCAGCTACCTATGGGTTTGGTGGTATCAAGAAAAATGATTGTTCACTAAGGTTAAGATTGGCAATGGGCAAGGTAGTCATAACAACAGAAAGATGTACTACCCACTGGTTCTGTGACTTTAGGTAAATTATTTTCCTTCAGTGACCATGTGGATAGACTGAGAGACTGGATCAGATTGGTGACTCTCAAAGCTTTTGGGATCGTGATTTTATCTTTGAAAATCTGATAAATGTGAAGGACCCTTTACTTAGAAAAATAAAATATGTTCGTGTATAAAATCTTGGATACAATTTCTAAGAGCTGCATTCTCTATCCCACACCTGAACTCCCCTGCCCAGCAACCTCCTAAAGGTCAGCCACTGATCTCCTGAGGTGTAGGGTGCCTGGCTCAACCCTATCTCACTACTGGCAACATGCTTGAAGTGAACGCCCTGCTGATGGCTGTCCATGTCTTTTTTTTTTTTTTTT